GCCATTTTCTTGATGGTAATATGTATTACATTGAAAAATTAGCTTTTGTCATCCTGCAGATGCCACAAAGTAGAAAACAGATGCAAGTTTTTTGTAAAATGATGCCATGATATGCTGAAATCGCTTTACATTCTACCTATAACCAAAATAATAAAATAAAATAAAATAAAAGCTTTGGGTTCCAAATTGTCAAAATTACTCTTCATTTTCTTCGCTACATATCTAACTGAAATATGAAGGAGATCGATTGATGTTTAACTTGGTCACAACATTATAGTGTTTGAAGTATAAATTTGTGTTCATAGCAAATCAGAGGCACGTGACCAAGTTGAAGGAATGAAATATTTCTGGTCACATTGACAAGCTGCTGGCCCATGAATATTTAAGGTTTTCTCATTAGAATTTGCATAAGTTCCATTTTATCAATAGTTTTTACTTCTAGAGTCTTGTTTCCAAATTTTGAGAAAGAGCTGAAGTCTCTACGTAATTCAACTTGTTGAACTTTAACGTACCCCCGGGTCCCCTGAAAAAACCTTCAGTTTGTCCAAATGCGCCGTCAGTGCCTTTTTTCCCCTTCTGAATAGTTGTGTCATGCTCTACTCTCAGCTGTTTAGTTCCGATATAGATATGCAGAAGTGGCATGCGATTCTAATTTGATGCCTTGAAAGTCTTTTTATGGAGCATAAAGTGTTTGAGTTGCAAGAATATTAGACATTTTAAATGGCCAAACATTTTCGCAGTTTATAGGAGCTGCAATGGGCACACCAGATCTCAACATACAGACTGAGAATGGTGTCATTGGCATTCCACGTAACCTTTGTTGTGTGGTGGTTGAATACCTTCCCGGGGGTACTCTCAAGTCTTTTCTCATCAAGAGCCACAGGAGGAAATTGGCCTTCAAAGTTGTGGTCCAACTGGCGCTGGATCTAGCACGCGGGTGAAATTTCATAATGCTTACTCCTCTTTTAGTTATATTATAGTAGTATATGTTAACAGCATGTGTTTGACACAAAACATGTTAAAAATATATTCTCAGGTTAAACTATCTTCATTCTGAGAAGATAGTCCATAGGGATGTCAAAACAGAGAACATGCTTCTTGACAGGAATCGTACACTTAAGATTGCTGATTTTGGTGTTGCTCGTGTTGAAGCTTCAAATCCTAATGATATGACCGGGGAGACTGGAACCCTAGGTTACATGGCACCTGAGGTATGTGCTTGACTTATGAGACCCACCCACGTGCATCATATGTAAATATATGTTGCTTATTTTTGTCATGGTCTACAAGACAGGTTCTTAATGGCAACCCGTATAACCGGAAGTGTGACGTATATAGCTTTGGCATTTGCCTCTGGGAGATATATTGCTGTGACATGCCATATCCAGATCTGAGCTTCTCTGAAGTGACAACAGCTGTTGTCCGACAGGTAGAAATATATCACACATTTTTGTTCGTTGAAGAGCAAAAAAAAAATCTTTAAAAGTCACAACTCTGCTTTGGATTTGCAGAATTTGAGACCGGAGATACCTCGTTGTTGCCCAAGTTCTTTGGCAAATGTGATGAAGCGGTGTTGGGATGCTAGCGCTGACAAGCGGCCAGAAATGGATGAAGTGGTGTCCATGTTGGAATCAATTGACACATCAAAAGGAGGTGGGATGATCCCTGTTGATCAACGCCAGAGCTGCTTCTGCTTTGGGAGACACCGAGGTCCTTGAGAAGAGCTTCTCCAGCTATCAAAATTGCTAGCAAGTGAGATCTGTAAGTTGTTGGTCCAATGAAGAGGGAAGGATAAAAAACGAAGGAGCATAGTTTTAAAAGAAGATTTAAGATTTCAAGTTTACAGGAGTGGGAACTTAAAGTTGGTGAGGTAAAAGAAGCTCTGATACATACATACATACATGCATTTATTCATCAGCTCATGCATGTGCAGCTCTATACCTTTTCATCTTTGAAATGAATTGTCTAATTAAACACTATTGGCCGGTTGGTCTTGAAACCTGCAAGATGTAGGTTTAGCAGGATGATTTAAACTTGTTGAATTCAATCTTTAATGTTTTTAGCACTTAGAACTGAACTCATTGTACTTTTAAGATTATGAGTTTAGAATTTAGTATTTGCTGAGTTTCAGTGTTTCTTTTACATGTATATCTTTGTTCTCTGTTAAAAGTATTGGGTTTTGGTTAAACTCAATGTTCAAAAGCTCCATGAGATCTAGTAAATGAATAGCAGGTTATAGTGAAGGTTGCACTTGTAGACCTCATGTATTTATGTCAAATTTCCACATCTTCCTCTTAAAAAAGATTTAGGATATTAAATCTCGATTAGCTGCCTGCCTTTGTGGTCAAAGGTATCCGGGTGAGAAGTAGCAGGTACCTGATAGAATAGTCGAGGTGCGTGCAAGCTAGTTTGGACGTCACTCTTATTTTGAAAAAGAAATGATTTAGGACACCACTTCAATGATTTCATGTTGCAGCTAAATATTACATAACAAAAAGTGCGATAAAAGGATCATTGAAGAATAACTTTCATGCTTGTTGGGATTGTGAATAGAATTATAGCAGGACTTGTTAAGTGGAAGTGTCAATGAGATTCTTAATGAGGGGGGAATGTACAAATCATGTTTTTATCTTGTTTGGTTAATGGATATGATGTCGCTGTAGGGATTAAATTTTGTTTCTTTGGCAATCATTTAAAATTTTAAATTAAATAAGAAAATTAGCTTGGAGTAGCTGGTCAGAGGTCATGTAACAGTGCTTGAATCACAGGAAGTAGCAAGAACAAAAAAGATAACTTCAGTTTGTGGTACATCTTTTTCTTCTTCGATGTTGGCGTATTGCAAAATTGTAAAATAAATGTATAAAAAGTAATATTTGACCTAGATGTGCAGTATAATTTTTCGGTTTAGCATACGAGTATGCTTAGACAAAGTCATTGATCTCTTCGTTTAGATACAACAACAACAACCCAGTATAATTCTACTAGTGAGGTCTGGGGAGGGTAGTGTGTACGCGGACCTTACCCTTACCCTGGAGTAGAGAGGCTGTTTCCGATAGACCCTCGGCTCCCTCCCTCTAAGAACTCCCCACCTTGCTCTTGGGGTGACTCGAACTCACAATCTCTTTGTTTAGATACAACATTACAAAGTACACATAAAGCAAAATGTCAGGTAACTTCCGTCACAAGAAACTTTAGTTGCATATCAAGAAAGAAGATATTATTGGTCAGGATTTGGGCCAATGTTCGTGAATATTTATAATTATAACTAAAAGAAGACAGAAGCATCATGGTCATAAATTAAGATGTATACAAATGTATAAGATATCTAACGAATTATTAAACAATAATTATCTGATAATGCTGCTGTATCATAGTCCTACACTCCCTTCTCTGTCTACACTTCTATGCACCTTGCATCTATTTCTTGCAAGCATAATCTACTCATGAACAAGCAATATGCATGATAATTGAACCAAATGTACTATCGTCGACTTGCTTGATAAAATAATTTTTTTTATTAGACGTTTCGCTTATACACTATCATATCATGTTACAAATTAAAAATAAAATAAAAAATCAACAATTGCTCACAACAGTATTTGATGGATATGTTCTACGGGGAAAAAATGAGAGGTAGGAAAACAAAAATAATTACTGTGGGTTATGAACTACAACACTTTCAAGATACCAAAATGCAACTTCGAGGGACTAAGACTATATAAAGTTAAATCAGTGGCAAGGGCGGAACCAGAAATTCTAATAAGAAGACCAATAAAAAAATGCATGCAAGAGTGTCACTTCAGATACTTGAACTTGTAGGCACAATTTTTGAGATGCGTTTGCAGCTGCACTAGAAACTTCCCTTTTGTCGAATGGATTCAATTATTGCACAATATAATTTTTCAACAAAAGAAATTCAATTAAACGGATCAATGGGGTGGATAGTGTGCAGGGCGCATTGCATGGCCTTGGCCAGGACTTGGACCTGAATTCTTGAGGTCTTCAAGTTGTAAAAGAGCTGATGATTCACGTTGTTGTTGAGGAACCTTCATGTCTTGGCTATGACTATGATTCTGAGAATCTGACAAATTAGGTTGTGTTAATTCAGAATGATAATGATTATTTGTGACCTTCAAACGGTTACGGGAATGGACTGAAGTGAATAGCAAACTCAACAAAATAGCTAAAAGAAGAGGCATAATATCTCTGTCTCTGTCTCTGTCTCTGTCTCTGTCTCTCTCTCTCTCTCTCTCTCTCTCTCTGTCTCTGTCTCTGTCTCTGTCTCTGTCTCTCTCTCTCTCTCTCTCTCTCTCTCTCTCTGTCTCTGTCTCTCTCTCTCTCTCTCTCTCTCTCTCTCTCTCTCTCTCTCTCTCTCTCTCTCTGAGAGAGAGAGAGAGAGAGTAGATTGAAGGGTGTATAGAGCAAGTTAGTAGTATATGTTTATTATATATGTAGTGTGACTGTTTAAGGCAAACACAAGTGCGCAGTTAAAACACGTTTGGGACTGAAGCAAGAAACCAATAACACATCAGCTGATGTTGCTTGTCTTTGTTAAGATTTCAACCTTAATTTTTCTGGTTTTTATCAACCTTATATATGAAGCAAGAATTTCTCAGATATGAAGAACCATAAACAGTGCACTCTAATCAGAAGTTGCTAGCTGTTTTCGAATATGAAAATTCAAGTTTTTCACTTGAAATACTCAAACAAATTTATTCAATATTTCAAAGGGATACTACATAATTACCCCATTGGGGTTATCTCACTTCACCAGATGCACCCTTCTGTTTTGCGGGGGTCGTATGACCCCCTTGTACAACTTTGAAGTAATATTATTACACCCATTTTAGGCCAACTCCACTTTCAACACAGGGAGTACTTTTTTTTATAGATTGGTCAAACACAATGAGCTTGCAAAAAACACTATTCAGCTAAAAAAAAGTTAAGTAGGGAAAGGAAAAGACATTTCTGAATGTTGTGTTAGCGGCTCTAGCGCTATCTTCAGCTAAAAAAGTTTCCCGTGTTAAAGAGTACAAAAAATGAATACAACACAAAAAGGTAGATAAGTTAGATGTTCATGACCTCAAGTCATCATTATGCAGTTCGCAGGCAACAAGCGTAAGCTAAAGTATATCGAAAAGTAAATCCTACAAGCACATAAAGGTATGTTTTCTACAAGAACATAGTTCGTATAGGTAGAAATGAAAGGCGGCCTGAGGGGGAGAGTGCAGCAGAGTGATCTTCTCCTGATAGGACTTCTGAGTTCTGAACCACATTCTATGTGGGCTTTAAAGTACTCAAAGCCACGAGTGGAGAAACAGCGCTCTCCACTTGTATCTCAGGAATGCACTGTAATAGGTAGGTATTTAAGTGGAGAAGGGCAAAGGGACGAGCCCATTATCTACCATGTTTTGAACTGCGCACTCAGGGGAAAAAAACAGGTACCAAAACTTCATTGCATCTGTTCAGTTCCTATTGCAGGTAAAAGAACAGGAACTCTCTTATGGAGAGGCCATCGATGACACCACAGTTGCCAGTAGAAACTCCACAATCTATGCAAATTGACCAAAGATAATAGGAGTAGAAACACAAAAAAGTAGCTCAAAGAGGAGAAAAGGTGAATGCGGAGATTCCTGGGCTTCGATAACAGCTCTCATGTCTTCAGATCATCAGACATGGCTGAAGGTATACAATGCATTGCAAGAATATCTGATGTTGCCGCTTTTGCATTTTTAGTCTGCAGTACAACAATCTAAAAAAAACAGAATCACCTTGAGAGGTCCAAAAGGATAAGAAAAGAAAAAAGAAGACAAAAAAATCAGATAGAGAGATAACCTGATCATAATCAAGATCAAACTTCATGTATTCGTCTTTACAGGCCTCCGCCATGTTAGCCAAGCTCTTCAGATTTTTTATAGGCTTGCCGTTGAAAGCAAGAACCTAGATTACATTCATTCAATGTCAAAACATATAGATGCACGTGAAAAAAATTACCAATGGCAGCTCGCTAATTCATAAATACTACTGTGATCAGCTCTGTAGTCCCACAATATTTTCTTCTCACCTGAGTGTTTACTAGTTCTTCATAACCAATATTGATGTCAGCCACAAGCACCTAATAGGAAGTGGGCAAGGCAGATCAGAAAGGAGCCGTAGATATAACAGACTAGTAAATTGTCAAAGAGCTAGACTGACCTGAGAAACCACAACCAGTTGTTCATCAATTGATTGTGCCATTGCGTGTAGGAGTTTGTCCAACAACTTAACTGGAGCATCAAATTCATAATCTTTTCCATACTAATTTTTTAAGGAAAAAAAGCGGTACCCAAGTAAGATATGTAAGCCCTCAAAGGCATGGCGAACAAGTAATAAATGAAATATGAAGTTATGCAGTTGATTACAAACCTCTGAACGTAAATATGGTACAGAAACAGCAGTGAAAACAAATCCACCGACAATGTAGTAAGAAGGAGGTTTTCCCTTGATATGAGCTGGAATCAATCGTTTATGTGCATTAAGCTTTATTTTGAATTCTAGAGTCTTAGATTTACGAAGAACTTTCACTCGAGCATCGTCTCCAGTATATTTTTGAGAAACAAGATAGCTGAAACCAATGCGCTCTCCATGCCTGAACGGTACTGAAAAATAACAATACCAAAATCAGGAATTTACAATTTTCAAAATAATAATAATAATGAAGTTCAGAAATTCAGTGATAGAGAGTTTCTAATTTCCCATCTCATAAAGTCATCTATATTTGTGATTAGAACTTAATTTTTAGTCTCTTAGGTGGGCCAAATATAGGGTCTCCCACAAGAAAAACATGCAACATCCATTATTCCTCCCAACCATCCCTCTTAGGCACCTATATGATCCTTTTTAATCATATCAATGGGGATTCCACAAATTAATTATTCCCAGCTAAACAATGGGATGCTTCTTGAACCCTAGTGCCAGGACTATGAATTGGACAATCTTGCAATACCTAACACATTTTTCAATGTTTTTGAGTAGCCAATACAAATAGCTAGTATTACCAAAGCAAGCAACACAAAGGGGTCGTTTGGTAAGGTGTATAAGAATAGTACTAAATAGGATGTATTAGTAATGTGGGGATTAGTAATGCATGGATTAATTATGCTGCTATCAATTGTGCTGAGCTTTTTTTTTATGATTGTTTGGTGTGGTGTATTAAAAATGACATGCATTGTATCATTTAAAAAAAAATTATTTGTTTCCTAAAAATACCCTCCACATTCTTTAGCTTTGAGGGACTTCAAGGGCAATTTTGTGTTTAACCATGCTCGTGCATTTATTAATAGTCTTGGTATTGCTAATACCATGGTTTGCTATGTATGTATTAGTTATACATAGGATAATACCAAACAGGATGTATAACTGATACTTGCATTAGTTATACTAGATTGAAAAAGTATACCAAACAAAGGATTATAATACCAAAGCTACATGTATTATTTTCTCTAATACATCCTACCAAACGACCCCAAAGTTGTTCTGTATTTTCTTCTGCCCCTTCACCCATCCCCAACAAAGACTTTTATTTCTTACTTCCAGAGTGGTCAAATAAATTAATCGCAGCATAGAAGAGAGAATTCCAAGAGGTATGAAAGATATTACTATCAACTGTGCACAAGAATGAATGCTGACAATAGTAACAATTCTATCAAGATAAATAGAAATGAACTAAATGCAGTCTTCTGCACTGGCATAAATTGCTTGACAAACTAGATTTATTACCCTATTGAGCAATGTTTACATCACACCATAAGTTATATGGCTACCAAAATGAACATCTTTGCATGAAAGGTTAATATGTATTTAACTACTAGACAATTCAATACCTAAATTACAAAAAGCAGACCATACGGAAAAAACTAAACATACCAACAAAGAGGAAGGACAAAGCTCAAAACATATTCCAGAGCATCAATGGATAGACATCTAGTAAATGAATTTGAACCTTCTCTCCGCTTTTATAGTAATCGTTATGTTTCTTTTGTTTGAAAAGGAATAATCTTTTTTCTTTGTTCAGTCCCTTTCTAGTTGCCAGGTACCTAAATCACAATGATGATTTGCACAGTATCTCAACATCTTTTGAATGTTGTGGATACACTATATGGAATTTACCAGAATTTCATATTTCCTTTTCAGATAAGCATCTGAAAGATAAAATACTCAAGAAAAGTAGACAACTAAAGGGAAAATGAAATCTTGATGCTTTCATGATTTCAATTTGCTTTCTTGCTCTTGAGCACAACTATACAGTCCACTCACACTAGTCGGAGATCTACCTGACGTTAAATAGTAGTGTCTTATCTCTTCTTTAAACTTATTTGTTAACTTCTCACTAGATAATGAATATGCTACTTTGACTAATCTGCACTTATCTAGCATTCTTTCTTCTGAATATAAAGCATAATCTTTAAATCGCCATTTTTGTAATCAATAAGATCAAATACACATAATTGGAGAACAGGAAGAGACTTCAATACTAGGTATCACATTCCATAAGGTCTTTCATACTCCCGCTGTTTTATTTTACATGATGATATTTGACTAGGCATGAGATTTAAGAAAGACTTACTTTTGACTCATAAGCTGAACATGTTTAACATACCAAAATGGCCCTAGAATCTGGCGGTCATAATACAACCAGCAAAAGAGAAGGTGGTCCCGGTACAAGGAATTAAAGGGTACATAAAGTGTCTGCTACTAGAAAGGTTATGGAGACACAACTGGGAAGAACAAGCTTTATGGAGGCAGATGACTAATCAAAAGTATGGTAGAGGGTCACTGGTGTACTAAACTAGTGAAAACTTCATTTGGGGTGAGCACTTGGAGAACCATCAGACAACAATGGCCTATTTTTGTTGCTAATATTGGCTTTGGTATTGGAAATATTCGGAAAAAAACCTTTAGGGTTGACAACTGGCTTGGGCATGGTCCTCTCGTGGAACTCTTTCCAGAAATGTACAAATCGATCATTATATATCCTTTTTCTTTCTGCGACGGAATGGAAGAAAAGTAATGAAACATGCGCTACCCCTACTCTAATCAAAAGACTAAAGGCCCCTGCTGAAGATGGGTCGCAAACTACGACCGAGAGTTTCGCCCTTTGATCGCCGGTGGCGTAGGGCAACCGGCCAGGCCAAGTCAGAAAGGCTTTGATGACTCAAGGTTCATATTAGGGAAAGGAGAGTGAGGGGACGAGGGGGCTGCCGAACTAAAATATAAATCTATCATTTCAATAGGAAGCACATTGATATTAAGAGAACTGTGTCAAACATGTCTAATTTGGGATGAGATCAGTGTTCACCTGTTCCATCATTGGCTATATCAACTCCGTCAAAGCTAAGGATAACATCCGAAGGCTTAAGAACATTAGATTCTGGGGCCGTAGGCTCAACTCTTCGGATCCGGACACCCTTCTGATTATGTGCCATACCAACCGACTGGCGGAGGTCAGGATTTTCCATTTTTTGCCATTCAACTCCAATGACAGGAAATCCTACAATGTAGGAGAAGCCCATATAAGACATAAGTTTGCACTTTGAGACCATCAATTTAATCAAGTTCAAGATGTTATTGGAATTCTCATGTACCTGTATATGCTCCATTCTTCTCATAATCTTGGATGAAATGCATAATTACTGGAGTTGGTATGACATAACCGATGTTCTCGGCATCTTCATGCTTAAGGGATTGAAATGCAATACCTACACACTTCCCCTTATCATTGAACGCGGGTCCACCAGAATTTCCAGAATTGATGGCAGCATCTATCTGCACAATAGTCTCACCGAATTAAAACCATAGCAACCAAATTAAGGAAATAAAAACCATGTATAATATTAAAGAAAATATCTGCAGGAAGGGAGAAACTTCAAAACATAACCTGCAATCCAAGGAGCTCGGTCGACACATGAACATAAGATAGTATCTCAATGCGCGAGACAACACCGCTAGTCACAGAGATCGTATCTCCTCCTATAGGGTATCCAACAACAGTTACAGCATCTTGCAGTGCAGGCAAATCCCCAAACTCAAGAGGTGATACTCCTTCCCAGAACTCATCATCATTCACAGTTAACATTGCTGTTTCATAATAACAACAAAATAGCCAGCTTAAGATCTTTTTAGTACTGAATTTACCAAATTCTAACAGTAAAATGATGCAAGGGGAGTGTTTTGTATGACGAAAAACACCTTGATGCAAAATGTTTTCCTTTATGAAATCATTTTATGATATTTGGTCACCTTAACTTGTTCCGAGGAAATATATTTTTTGATAACCAATAAATCTCTTGGGCCAGTGGCACACAGTTCGAAACGCGGTGGATCATGCATGCACCCGCCCCTCTATCCTTCTCCACTTAAATACCAAACTTTTGTTTGTAGCACTGTTAAAACATGCGAGAAGCACCTAACCCATACATCACAAGTTGCGGTTTTACCACTAGACCAAAGCTTTGGGTCAAAGGAATAAAATTTCACTGAAATGTACAATGATCTCAACTTTTATTCCATATCACTCGCTTCCACCAATGTTATCAATCTTTCCTACTAAAAAATGTCACGGGGTCATTATTATGCCCAATCAAACACTAATTATTTCCCAGGGTAAAACATTGTCCCCGTACCAAATGCACACTAGGTTAGTAACATTGAATTGACAATCTGATGTCTGTCCAAGAAAAATAATGGAAACTAAGGCAAGATATATATATATATAACAGCTAAGAAAATTGAAGATTCAGGCAAACAAAAATTAGTACTCTCAGTCCCAATTTATGTGATTGTGTTTCTTTCGTAAACTTAGTGCCGTCAAACATCAACACATAAATCAAGACGGGGAATAAAAAATTTAGTTTAAGATTAATGCACTGACAATACAAAAATTATGTACACAATTAGGTCACTTGAAAGTCATAGCATTAATTGATAACATACTATAATAAAGGGTTTAAGTTATATACACCATTGGTGTAAAATAATTACACTATCAAATCACCCAAAGCACATGTACAAGTATACCTCCTTAAAATGTGGGATTTGTAATGTTAGTAAGACAAATTACATGCTACCATAAGTAAAAGTGACCTAATGATGTAAAAATTCCTTATACTTACAGTTATATAACTTAAACTCTATAATAAATGGTAACTGAACTGCTATAACACATTGAATAACACTAATAATGTATAGAAAACATTACATTGTCACTGTATATAAATCTCGTAAAAATTATGGAACATACCAATATCACACTCAGTTCCAATGGAGAGTACAGTAGCTAGGTATTTTGTATCAGAGCCACGTTTCTTGAGCTTAACTTGAGTATGATGCTCCACAGAGTGAGCATTTGTGAGCACTCTTTTTCCACTAATTATGAAACCACTACTACTAGAGCTGTATTGTCTCTTCCTCTGCCACGGAAGCGAGAAATTCGGATCCGTGTGCACGCAGAACACTTTCACCACCGCATCCATCAACGGTGCCGCCTTCGCCGCTGCGGTAGCCAACTCCACGACATGCCTCAAGTCGCCACTCAATACTGTGGCGGTGAGTTCGCCGTTGTTGTGCTCGGCAAACCGATGGCCTCGTCTCTCCGGTGACGCCGCAATATCCCTGTCAACTACTTCTTCGACTTTCCTCAGGCGACCACGGCCACGGCGGTGAGTTTGTGTGTCGCCGTTGGTGGCGGTTTCGATAGGGTTTGCAGAAACTAAGCCTTCGTCCATGGCTGTTTCGGCGCCGCCGCCGGAGTCCGACACCGCATTTTTAGGTTTTCGGCCTCTTTTCCTCTTTAAGTCTCCCATTGAAACGAAAAGGGAACGTTCTTCCAAAATGGCAAAGAAGTAAAAAGCACGAAATCGGAGGGCTTTACTTAGAAAGAGTAAACTCAGTATTTTTTTGAGAGAAAAGTTTCAAAATGGAAATGAAAAAGGAGCCATGTTTGCTGGCTGCTGCTTTTTGAGTTTTGAGTTTCTGGGAAGAACTGCTATAAGGATTTCACTTTGCCCGCTCAAATTTTGTCCTTTAATTGGGCTTTGTAAAAATGTGCAGCCCAAATAGATTTTAGCCCACTGCCATGAAATCAGCCCAATTCCATTGAATAAAGGAAATTTTACCTCCTATAGCAAAGCTTTACACCCTATTTATTATAAATAAAAATCCTTTTATAATACTATTTTCTATAGCTATTTTTTATTTTTTATAACAAAATATATTTTTATGGTATACACTACCGTTAAACCATTAAATACGTTGTCTAATATTTTTCTCTCATTCTTTCAGTTATTCTCTCCCAAAATCACCGCACAGTATCTTATTTCTCTCTCCATGATCTCTCTCTCACAGCGCCATTGTCTTCCCCATTGTTAAACTACGATTCTCTCACAACGCCATTGTCTCCCTTAATTTTTAACTTTTCTGCTCTAAAAAGTTGTGATAAGTGTTAATGTTTTTGGCTTTTGGCCGGTTAAATCTTCTTCTTTTTCTCTTTACTAATTTTTTTAAAAGATTCACCATTGTTATGTTTTCACCAGAAAACTTCAAATTTCCTCTTCAATGGCTGATTCAACAACTCCGAAGAGGGTTACCCGAGGTATACCCACCAAAGCACTCAATTCTGATGGGCCATCTTTCGATTTGCAAATCATTCAAGCGGAACCTGTATTTGCAGGTTCATCAGCAACCACTGAAACCGAAAGGAGAATAAAAATTCGTAATGACCCTACGAAACAAGGTCAAGTTGAGAAATCTTCGAAAAAATCAACACTTCCTAATGTGGAAAAGAGAAGAAAACTTATAGATAATGCTTCAGGGAGTAAGGGAAAAGAGGTCGCTAAAGGAACTAGCTCGAAAATACAGAACAACAAGGTAATTGTAGATGTATTTATATGTATTAAAGTCCGCATACATTGATTATTAGCTTGTATAGTGGTTGTCTCTTCTTGTATTTAGATGTATTTATATGTATTCGATATTGCCTACACTGATTTTTATTTTGTATAGTGATTTTTGACTATTGTATTTAGATGTATTTATATGTATTTTAGTTCATTTAACAATATTTTTAAATACACCAATTGTTCGGTATTAGTTATGTATTCAACTTAACTGTATTCATCTGTATTCTCAACCTAACTGTATTCATCTATATTTAAAACAACAGTCATTGCCATAACTCACAGTTTTTGTGGTAATTATCACTGTATTATGTTGTATTTCATGAATGAGTTATGTATTCAACCTAACTGTATTGATCTATATTTTCAACCATATATTTTATCTTTTTAATTATTTTTTGTATGCAGGAAATAAAACTCTTTGTTAAACACCCTCCTATTTTATCACCGCATATCAGCTCCTACACTAACACCGACATAATCTCCGACCTCAAAGAAAAGCTTACTCCAGATCAGTGCAAATTATTTGGTACTACTTATTTTGGAAGTTTCCTCGATATGAAGCACTGTGAGGTTCAACATCAATTGTTCAGGTGCTTCATGGTTCTACAACTGGAAGAAAGTCATGTTGATTCATTTTTAATATATGTGAATGGTATAACATTATGCTTTTCAATCAGGGAGTTTGCGGTAGTTATTGTCTCAATTGTGTTGGTGAAGCTGAAGATTTTGAGTTTAACACAAAGATGCCTAACAGGGTTGTGGATACATACTTTGGCAGTGCAAAGAATGTCAGGAAGAAAGATTTATTGAAATTCTTTGATGATAAGAATTGGGGTTTTGACAACGATGGAGATGCCATTAAAATAGTTGTGTTGTATTTCATACATACATTCATATTATCCACTGAGAAGAACTGCACAACCATCTCAAGACTACATTTTGACTTGGTCGAGAGCGGGAGATATTCTGATTACCCATGGGGTAAGGAGGCATTCCAGGCCCTTATCAAATTTATTAGCAAGAAGATGGATTCCTAAAAGAAGTATTACAGGATAGCTGAGATGCCTCTCGCTATGCAAGTATGGTTGTACGAGTGTTGTTCAAAGGTCGACCCCAAAATTGCACTACGAATTGATAACCGGATTTCCAGAATACTCAATTGAAAATCTACTGACAACCAGCCAACTTATGCTTACTTGATGAACGGTATGTTCAACTACCAGGGAAATGTGTGTAACGACCCGACCGGTCATTTTGGGCATTTACACTTTGCTCGGTTGTTTGAGGTCATGAGTAGCTCCGTATGATGTATTATGACTTATGTGAATCGTCGATTTTGGTTTTCAAGTTATTCGGAATTTGTTTTGGAAGAATGATTCTCAGTTAGAAGCTTTAAATTTGAAAGTGTTGACTAAGTATGACTTTTTAGTAGCTAACCTCGGATTGGATTTTGTGATGGTTCTGTTAGCTCCGTTGGGTATTTTGGACTTAGGAGCGCGTCCGGATTATGATTTGGAGGTCCGTAGTAGAATTAGGCTTGAAATGGCGAAAAGTTGGAATTTTGAAAAGTTTAACCGGGGGTGGACTTTTTGATATCGGGGTCGGATTCTGATTCCGAAAGTTGGAACAGGTCCGTAATTCAAATGTGATTTGTGTGCAAAATTTGAGGTCAATCGGACGTGATTTGATAAGTTTCGGCATCAGTTGTGGAAGCTTAAAGTTTCAAAGTTCATTAATTTCGAATTGAGGTGCGATTCGTCGTTTCGATATTGTTATGTGTGTTTTGAGGCCTCGAGTAGGTCAGTGTTATGTTAAGGGACTTGTTGGTATGTTTGGATGTGGTCCCGAGGGGATTGGGCGTGTTTCGGATTGATTTCATATAATTTTCTTTCATGTTTACACTGTTATGTCCTGCTGGTTTCTGGTGTCTCAGTCCTTCATCACGTTCGCGTGGCAAGTGTCGCGAACGCGTAGTGTATTTTGATGGTAGCAGCAAATTGTTCTTTGCGATCGCGAAGTATGTCCCGCGTTCGCGTAGAGTTGGGGCAAGTCCTCTTCGCGTTCGCGCATGGAGGATCGCGTTCGCGTAGTATTGAGGTTGGCAGCTGGGAATTTGAGCGTTCTTCTATGCGATCGTGTAAGGTTAGTCGCGTTCGCGAAGCTTTGGCAGTAGTGTTCATCGCGTTCGCGTGGGGTGTATCGCGAACGCGTAGAGTTTTTTGTGGCAGCGTGAGTTTTATTCATCGCGAACGCGATGGATTTCCCGCGTTCGCGAAAGAAGAGGCATGGGCAGATTATAAAGTACTCTATTTCGAGGGATTCGGCCATCTTTACATTTTTGGAGCTATGGAGCTCGAATTTCGGCAATTCTTGAAGCAATTTTCACCATATGAATTGGGGTAAGTGTTCTCTACTCGGTTTTGGTTATATTCCATGAATCTATCTTCGATTTTAGCTTTTAGTTGATGAATTTTAAAGAGGAAATTGGGGGTTTCGGCCCAAAGTATCATAATATGAATTTTTAAGTTTTGAACATCGATTTGGAGTCGGAATTGAGTAAACTAGTATGGTTGGACTCGTAATTGAATAGGTTATCGGATTTTGTGAGTTTTATCGAGTTCCAAGGTGTGGGCCCGGGTGTGATTTTGGGTTTTGATTGAGGAATCGATCTTTATCATTTGGAATTGTTTCCTTGGGCTGTATTTGATGTATTTGAGTTACTTTTGGATAGTTTTGAGCCGTTGGAGGTCGCTACGCGCGTGATGGCATCTTTGGAGCATCGCTTGGCTTGCTCGGCATTGGTATTGGCTTGTTCAAGGTAAGTAACTCTTCTAAACTTAGTGCTGAGGGTATGAAATTCCGAAATACGTGTTATGTGATTGGTATTGAGGTGACGCACATGCTAGATGACGGGAGTGTAGGCGTGCACCAAGTGAATTAGGACTCTGTTGTTTTCATGGCACTGTATGGTAGTCCTATTTTGTTAATATCCATGTTTTCACCATGCGATAAAGTAAATGAGCTGTCAATCATGCTAGATATCATGTGTAGGCTTTATGCTGATACTGTTGGGAACCATAGTGGTCGTTTCTTGCTGACATTTCACTAATTTCATTGATATTTTGTACTCAGTCATATTCATGCATTCATATCATATCTCAGTCTCAGTTGTTATTTATTGATACATCATATCAGTGGTGTCGGGCTAGTTTCATGACACTGTGAACCCGTGAGTGAGACTGGAGAGATTGTTGACTGAGTGAGGCCGGAGGCCTGTTTGTGAGGATATTGATACTATAGCATGTGAATTGTCCGTACAGCACGTGATTTGTCCGTACGGATCCAGATATTGATATTATAACACGTGAGTTGTCCGTGCGAATTATAGTGCTTGGGTTGTAGGAGCCCCTCCGGAGTTTGTACACCCCTAGTGAGCGTGGTTGATTATATTGAGGGATGGATCTTTCCTGGACATGGATATTATCCGAAGCATTTATATACCTGGAGATGGATCTTCTCCATGGGGCCGGATTGGCCTTCCTCGGTACTTAGTGACTGATAGTCAGCGATGTATATATTCCAGGATGAATCTTTCCTAGGCCATATAGGCCATATACAGTACCGAGTGATTGAGTATGATGAGTGAAAAGTATGAGTCAATGAGATTGAGTGCTCTGAGAATGTGAGTACATAATTCATCTCTGAGATACATGGCATTGGCATGCACACATGACATACAGGCATAGAGATGCATTTTTTCTTATGTTGTACGGTATCACGTCATTCATGATTTTTTTTACACATATTGATATGTGGGCATAGAGAGATATTTCACACTTGCTATCTAGAAAGAGTATGAAACATCTCATTTATTGTGGAAAGGATATTTGAAAAAATTATAATTTTCAAACTTACTCTTACTTTGGCATTTTCAGTAAAAGATTTGTGTTTTCACTAAGATACTTGAAAAGCATGACTATTTTCCGGAACTGTGAACGAGTTGAGCATTTTACTTCTGAGATACATCTTTTATTACTTGTATTATACTGTTATGATCTGTTGTGGGATATTGG